TCTGGACCTCTGAAAGAGGTCACCAACCATCTGGCTGACCCGGTATGTCGTGCTAATCTGGACCTCTGAAAGAGGTCACCAACCATCTGGCTGACCCGGTATGTCGTGCTAATCTGTTCGATTGCAGTTCTTCCTGCCCTCTGTTACGGGCCGGAGACTTGGGTGACCAGTGCATCCACGTCAAAGGCCTTGAATTTGAGTCACAGAGCGCTCGAGCGATGTCTTTTGAGGTTCAACCAACTCACGCAATATCGAGCCGGACTCCGCAACTCTGATATGCGCAGAATGTCTCGACTCCGCGATCCGGTGGAATACATGAAGAACGCAAAATTTCGGTGGGCCGGTCATATAATGAGAAGAGATGATGACAGATGGACAAGAAGAGCAGTCGAGTGGGCTCCCATAGGATCTACACGATCTAAGGGTAGGCCTGCTGCGAGATGGGGGGATGTGCTTGTCGATCAGCTGCGACAGCAGCTGAATGACTCCTCACATCGCCATCTTCGTCGAATCCTGAATCTACCGTGGATGGCGATCGCGAAAGAACAAGCGATTCGTTTGTTGCTGGTGCCCGCACATGAATGAAGACGGGCCGTTTGAGGATGAGTAACTCGACAAACCAACCATGCAATGTAATCTGTCATCGTAAAGGCCATCACACACTATTCCTCCCCTTTAGATTGTCCTTTTTACTGATTCTGCCTCTGATTCTGCTTGCTCATGATTTACAAGTGTAGATATGAAAAGGAAAGCGATTCCATTAAAGATGGGTTGAGTGAGAGCAGATTGTACTGGTGGAGTGAGATAGTGTTCTTCTCTAATCATTAAATCAATGCAGGTCGTTTGTACGCAAATGGACGCTACCGGAATCTGTGAATCTTGATGCTGTTCGTACCCAACTTAACGACTCTGGACACCTATCAATCGAGGCACCGAAGGTGATAGAAGCAAGTTCTCAGCGTCGTGCGATTCCTATTGAGCGAGCCCCTTCCCATGACTGAAGAAGCCTCGTCGATACGTGAGGTTGAGAAGCTTCTTTTCTTCATGGGATTATGAACCTGTGCCAAATACTGGCTACGGTCACTTGCGACTTCTTTCAGGGCATTTTTGTCAAATGATTGTTGGTGGTGGTTTTATTCGCATTCACAACTTACTATTGTAGATCACTGACACTGACATTTTTGTGCTTATCACTCTAAGCAGACATTGTTTCATGGTATTCGAGTCAATAAACCTTTTTGGAAAACTTTCCTGTTTATGGCGCCTATGAAGGGGAATGTTTGAATTCCCAGTGGAAGTAATTCAAACCTTCCCCTCCATAGCGCGCGAACGGACGCAGCGAGCGTTAGCCGCCGCGTAACCACTGTTGCTTGGCGTGGAAATTCGGGGAGATTACGGCACCCTGGGTACAAGTGTTTTTATATAGAGAAGTTCAATTTATACTCCAAATCTGATCCTGAACCAGTGCCGACGAAATCGACTACTATTCTTGGCTAGGCAGCCTTGTGTTCGTAAAAGCTAAGGATGGCAGGCTAGGGCACTGTAGTGTTGTTTTTTATGTAAACAAAACATCACACATTTTCTTTATTGCAGTTTTCTGCAAAACTCAACAGGGACCCTACCTGGCTTGTTGGATGCTCGCTATTTTGTGTATAGACTCTAGTCAAGATAGAGTTACTTTGGCTTTATCGGCAAAGGGCCTTCAACCTGTCGTTTTTCTATTCATTTGACGCACTGCTACCTAAAAAAGCTACTAAAAGAATTTGGATGAGGTAATGTCATCTTGTAGTTCCCTTCAATAACGCCGAGTATGACTTAAACATGAAACTCTGCTAGTTCTGCTTGAGTAAGTGATACTGCTGCCATTCTCGTAGGGGATAATGTGACATCTTGCGGACCTGCGGCGGCGCGCTGCAGTGGCGTGAAAGAGACGCGTCATAACATCACGCCTTCTTCGTGATGGAAAAAACAGAAACCTATAAAAGGCGATCAAAAAAGGATCAACTATACCGTTTGCATAAAGATTACATTTGTTATACTTAAAAGCACAGTTCACGACAAATGTTTCTGGGATTTCCCCATAGGATGCGCTCCTACTGATACCATATGTGCTGATGTCAGATCGAGAAACTTCCTGGATAGGTGGCCAAACATTGTATAGTATGAATGCCACACATCGCGGACGAGTCTCACCGGTATTGTAGGCTGCACTATCTCGAGGGATTACCATGTAGAAATTTCTAACAACTTGCCATGACCCATGGCGATAGTGAGAAGGATTGAGTCGGCTCTTTCCGCAATGGTCACAACTGAAATCTCGCCCAAATACCCCTTTCATGCCATTTCCATCACAGTGATTGTGTTCAACCTCTACTTCCGTTACGTTTGAAAAGCGAGTTTTTATTTTTCGCGAAGTAGGCGGATTCTCTCGCTTTTTTCGACACAAATGCACTGCACTGCATCAACACTTCCCCTTTTCAACTTAAAGACACAGTTTACGATAATTTTAGGTGATCCAGATTATGACCAAAAGTGGAAGATGGAAAATAGTGCAATGAAGGCAGAGAAACTGCCTGAATCGGTGTCTCCAATAAGAGAGGCCTCAAGAAATCGTTGAAAAAAAGGGGGGAGGGGGGATGGGTGACGAGAATGAGACCAGGAAAATGAAGGAGAATGAGACGTTTGGACGAGCTACACAGTTTATCATTGCGTACTTGTGGATCTTTGTGCGAATAGCTGACTACGGTAAGCAAAACAATTCATTCTCTTCCAAGCATAAGTTAACAAAAACCCTAGTAGCTATAATAGGAAAAATAGTCCACCATTTTTAGCCGCTTGGGGTAGAAAATTAAATAAGAGATCGCAGCAGCAAAAAGAACAACAGGGAATAAAAGATTGGGAGAAAAACATCGCCTCATCACTCGGCGATCAGTCGATTGTGTGTGGGTTCTGGAACCAACATTGCAATCTGCATCGCCTCGACACTCGTCTTACGTGACATCGATCGAGGGGCGGGAAGTCCGGACGATCCGGTAACGGGGCCCCCACTATGCCCTAGCTGTTGAGATTTGGGACTGGACAGCGTCCTTCCTGTTACCTTTGGGGCCCACTGTATTCCTACGGGGAGAACTTAGAAACCATCTTCATCGTGAACTGCGCCTTTAAAATGGGCACCTCAAAATTGTCGTAAACTGTGCCTTTGAACGTTTTGAGGTTGTTCTTATTTCAGGGGCAAGTGAATTTGAAGTGAAATACACGGCTCATAAAAAGAAAGTTAGCCCATGTTCGACATTCCTATAATCCCGGCGTGATTAGTTCAGTCGGAATGTTTCTTCGAACCTTCCAAGAACGAGCTCTCTATTAGGCTGACGTTTCGGCTTCTTCGCATCGAAAAGGCGAAAAAGCCGAAACGTGAGCTCGATAGAAAGCTCAATCCTGAAAGGCGTAAGGAGTCATCCGGGCATTCAAAGACAGTTGGATAAGTTTGAAACCTTCAACTTAGCCACCTACTTCCTAAATGTACGAATCATCTTATTTCTTCGCCACCTTTGTCAACAACCCGTACTGTATTAGAAAAACGGCGTACAATTTAACCTACCTTAGTGATGTCATTCATTCCATCACCATTCAAATCGTAATGGTGTTTGGATGCGAGCTTGCAGCACACAACACTTCTTATTCGTGTTATTCTTATTTGGTTACAAATGAGATTTTATTAAATGCTGCGGAAAAAATGGGAGGATAATCTATAGTCCCAGCAGTATTCCAGAGGATCTAGCTGCCTCTCTGATGATAAAAAGCGATTAATTGAATATTTATAAAATTCAGAGTTTACCTTGGGTGTTAAATGCACACCTAGGTATAGTTGTTTTGAACCTGAACTACGATATCTTGAACGCTACGGGATGCTCTATACTGCCACTGAATAAGTAGTATGAATATTTATAACTTGGCAGAAATTCAATTACAGCAAATGTCAATCACAAATGTTACATCATTCGGTGTAGAAAAAATGATAATGGTGCAAAACAATAGAGAGAATCGAGGATATTGACCTGAAGGACTCTATTGCAAAGGATCGGAACTTTGTGCTGATCTACATTTCTATCGTAATCTTACTAATATCTCTAATGTTTCAAACTGCTTTGCCGTAGAGGATTGTTATGACAGAAGCGCTTTATAACATCGACTTTTCGAACAACTTGCCATCTTCAAAGACCTGAAACCAGCTCGGAGCTCCTGATCTATACCTTAACCGACTAAGCGCCACAACTTAATAGACTAGTTGCATCAACTGCCAGGAACTCGTGCGCCAGAGAGCCCCATCCAAGAAACAACCTCTTGCGGATCCATCAACGTTGCTGTCCCACTCGATTCCGCGAGCATGAAGGACCAACTGTTTGGTTTTGGTTTTGGCTGTTTAACCTAGATCTATTCGTGCGGGTAATGCCGCTTCCCGTAGCTTTTGCACTGATCTCATTCTCATGGGCCAGGATTCTGCAGATAATAAAAATTGATGCCTTGATGTTCTTTTAGTCGATCCCTTCTAAGTGATGAGACTACGCCTCCACACCTTTTTCTCGTAGATGTTCTTTGAAATGTAAGCCCAGCATCCTTCCCGTCTCGCCAGCATACTTCTCGCTAGAGGCTTAACACTGAATCGAAGCGCCGTTCTTCGCTGTGTGCAATCTCTATCTCTTCCAAGCGGACAGATTACCCCTCATACACACGAAATCATAAAATCTCTTGCGGTTTAGATGCGGTTTGATATTGTCTTCTGGTAGGTTTATCATGAAAACGTCATTCACCAAATCCGCTTGTGTACTGCATTGTCGGACTTTTGCGCCTACTTCGTCTGGTATAAATGGAACTCGTCGTATGTGCTCGGTTTGGAACGAGAAATTACTACTGCCTTTTTGTAAAATTGAATCAATCACGAAACACTACGTAGTGGTCGTTTTTGCTTTTTCAATCCTCTTTTTCCTGACTTTAAAAAATACTATTTTCCCAGTGAAAAATTCTTTGGATCATTTGAGCAGGGGCGAGATGGCAATGGAAAGAAGTTTTCAACTAGCATTCAATCGATGAGCAGGACTGTCACGCCCTCAACTTCAAATTCTTCTGCGAAACACTTGCTGAGGGAAAATGCAGGGGCTGGACTGATGAAGAGTGCCTGGATGACATTGGTGGAAGACCCATTTTTGTAGGTGCGCAGCGTGTAAAGATGGCATCAGAGTGATACTTCGACACCAAGACGATATTCACCCCACAACACTTTCGCCGTGGGGCACGCATAACCTTGAATCACTATTTCAGAATCAAAATCGAGGATTACAAAGTTTCGAACATGAGCGTATTAATGAGCATAACATTGTAATAGCTAATAAACATAAACAATATCCAGCAGTGATTATGCCTGAGACTAGAGGATGGATGGATATGAAGGTGGAGACGCGGTGCCCTTACATATGAAGGCTTCTAATGGAATCTCAGTGCCGAGTTTGTCCACATTCTCATTTAACAAACAGCACTCTGGATATGAAACGAAATGCGTCTAGGTAGGTTTCCTGGTTGGAAGCGATTCGAATTGAAAGACAAAAAATAACACCGAGTACTGGAAAAAGTACTGAAAAAAGACATATTGAATACATTTTTGCGGAACTAACTTGGAAAATGCAAAAGGACGACAATCAAGACGCCCAACTCGACCAGAGGGAGACTCTCTGCAAGAGACGGGACAATGATGCGTCCGTCGATTAGCACATCAAATTGTTCAATTCATCAATCGAATCAACACATTGTTTTCATATATCGATCAAGTCGATGTGCTTTTGAGCAGCTTCAACTCGGAGCTTTGACTGTTGTCGCTGTTTTGAGCACATGCTTTATTTCTGAATGTTAAACGCCAGAGGCGTTCGAAACTTTGTCGCGCGAATCTCCGGACGCACCAATGTTGGTGCGCGCTGCGTCAACGTGCCTCTGACGCTTATTCAGAAAACAT